CCTCATTTGTAAATGTGGATATTGATCAAATTTACCTCTTAGCATTGTAGTAGGGTTTAAATGAGATAATTAAATGAAAAGTATTTAGTATTTTACTTGGAAAATATTAAGTGCTTAGTAAATGTTAGATCATAATAATAATGTAAAATAAATTTTATGATGTATAACATACTTTGGTTTTAAAAGGGCATGGTTTATAGTAAACTCTCTGGTATATATAAGACTAGGTGATAGGTAAGTATAACTCAGATCCATAGAGAATTGAGACCTTGGGCTAAAGTCAGGCATTGCCCATTTTATTATTGGGAAATGGTGGAGGGGGAGGGAGAGAAGGATCTAGTAGTCTACTATGGACTCTACACTGATGATGGACAAAAACAACAAATAATTATAGCAAAAATTGATTGAGTACTATATGCTAGGCTATTTATTTTTATTTAATCCTCATAAAAACTTATTATTGTTAGCTCTATGTTGTTGAAGAAACAGGTACAGAGAGGTTCGATCTTACTGCTAATGATGGTAAAGCCAACGTTTGAACCCATGTCTATCTAACTTTAGGCTCCATGCTGTGCAATCAATACTGCTGGGGTAAGGCCATAGTCCAACCTCTCGGGGAAAGTTTTATTTTGTTCTTGATATAGCCACACAGTCCTTTGTAAGTCGGTGGAATGTAGAGTGAGTCCCATGATTTACTGATAATTGTGGGTCTTGTCTCTCCAGTTCTTGTAGAGATTGCACTGGTTACCCAGCAACCCATGCAAAAATCAGTTCCTGCTATAACTGTCCTGCAATTCAAGCCAGATCATAAAGCGTAGAGGGCAGAGAAGGGGCCCCATACCTTCCCCAACTTCCCAGATACGCAGTGGCATCCCAGGGGAGTTGGCTCCTAGTCTTTTGGATTTTATAGACTGGGAAAAGAAAAAAAGGGTAGACCAACAAAAGGTTGTCAGCGTATCGGATAAGGACCTTTAAAACTCCAACTACCATCTATTCTCAATATTTTGTAAAATGATATTTTAACATCCCTAGAGTTGGAAGGACACAGATGCAGAATAGAATAGTTATTTACATTGAATAGATTTAGCTTTATAAAAAAACTTCATGTACTGTGTTTATTATTTTAATTTCATTGCAGATGACTGAAAACTTCCTTAGGGACCGAAACAGCGAGTGGACTCACCTTTGGGAGCCACTGTCCTGGTTTGCTTTAATGTGTCAGCACCACAGAGAGCAGCTTATCTCACACCCCCCATCCTGTACCACTTCTGTCATTCAGATGGTGGTGAAGAAGCAAACTAGATTGTTGTAAGGAGCTATAATTTTGTGGGCCTCATAGTTTTAGGGATAAAATATTTGCTTCAGAACTGCTCAAGCACCTTCCAGAAAAATCTAGGCTGCCATAGTGGGGGTGGGGAAGGAATGTTTAGTGTCCGAGGTACTCATGTAACTAATGCACTGATGTTTTTATTGCTGAGTGACATTCCAGGTGATCTTGCGGATGCCTCCGTTGTTTCTGATAAATCAGCCTTTAATCATATTGGGGATTCTTTGTAAGTGATGAATCGATTTTCTCTTCTGCTTTCAAGGTTTTCTCCTTGTCTTTGGCTTTAACATCTTTGACCATGGTATATCTTTTGCGGATCTCTTTGCCTTTATCCTACTTGAACTTCACTGGTATCCTGGATGTATAAATTAATGTTCTTCAATAAATTTGGCAAGTTTTCAGCCAGTGTTTTTTAAAATATTTTTTATGCTCCTTTTTCTCTCCTGGTACTACTCCCTTTATGCATATGTTAGTGCACTAATAGTGTTCTGTATTTCTCTGAGGCTCTATTCATTTTTTTTCATTCTTTTTTCTTTTTCTGTATAGGTTCACACTTTCATGCTTCATATTTTTTGGTTTCATATTTTTTGGTTGAATATTAGACATTTTAGGTCACATAGCATTTCTAGATATTGATCCCCCCACTTCAGGTTGTTTGTTTAGTGACTTAGCTGGCTTGTTCAGTGAAGTCCACTTCCCCCTGCAATGTGATGCCTCTGATGTTGCTCCTCAGAGGGTGCAACCTTGGGCATGTGCACAGTCACCCTGGGAGGATGGTGGTCTTAACAGGGCTCTGACTCTCTGATCTCTCTGTCTGCCTCTGCTGGTATCACACCAAGTCATTAGGCTCCTCTAATTGTCAGTGAATTGCTCTATTGTTTTTGACAATGCCTTGGGGTGTCAGTTGCTCTGTGGTCTGATCAAATTAATTCAGCTCCTTTACAGAATAATTTTTGAGGACAGTCTTTTAAGGTCAGTCTTGTTCTGACCCAGGGGAGAGCTCTTCTCAGCTGTCTCTTTTCCTGATTCTCTTTGATAAACTATGGTGTAGTTTATTGCTCTTATGGAGTTACTAGCCTCCTTACTTGGTGACCACCAAATCTCCATTGTTTTTAAGAGCACCCTTGGCTTGAACTTCCCTGCACTCTGTTCCAGTTAAAGTTAGTTCTTTTGAGGGAGAGCTTTGATGTACTTTATTCTACAGCCTGTCTTTCGCCCTGGTCAAAATCGGAGTCACTGCTCTGAATCTAGAGGTAGAAACAATGGCCTGCTTCTCTTGGAGTGAGCTTTATGAGCAGGGTGCTGAGTGGGGATGGTAACCTCTGGTCTTCTTGATTTGCCTCTCCTAGTATGGAACCTTTGTCCTATGAGTAAGCTGGGGTGAAGGCAGTTGGGGCCACCGTATTCTTGGCCTGCCCTCACTGGGGAGATACCATAGTGATTGACTGGTAGCTGCGGGGAAAGGGAGCCCTGTTCTCTTGTCCACACCTCCCTAGAGTGGATATTCTGTCACAGTGAGCTGGGAGAAGACTAAAGGATTGTGGCTCAAACACCACAAACTCACTGTTCTTACTGAAATTTGGTAAATTTTCTAGAATAAATCTTTCTTCATTTGCTATATGCCCTGAAAAACTTTCAGAGACTTTAGATCTAGATTTGTTTTAGTAATTTCACCAGTTATGAACTTTTGCTGGAGAGTGGGTCTGTGGAGCTTCTCATGCCACTATTTTTCTCAGCCATCCATGTGGCCCCCATGATTTCTGGTTCCTGTTATTCATGTCCTTTTGTAGTCTCCTCCCACACTAGATAGAGTTGACCTGTGTAACCATAAGGATATGGCCGAAGAGACAGAGTATGACTTCCAAAGCGAGATTACAAAAACATTGCAGCTTCTGCCCTGTTACTCCTTCCTGGGTCACTTGCTCTGGGGCAAGCCAGCTGTCTTGTCATGAGGACAAGCAGCCCAATGGAGCAGTCTCCATGGCAAGGAACTGAGGCCTCCTTCCAACAGCCAGCACAAATTTGCCAGGCATGTGAATGAGCCACTTTGAGAGCAGCTCCTCCAGCATATCAAGCCTCCAGATGACTTCAGATGACTGACGTCTAGACTGCAACCTTGCTAGAGACCCCAAGCCAGAACTATTTAACTGAGCTGCTCCAGGATGCCTGACCCACAGAATGTATGACATAACATATGCTTATTTTTTGAGCTATTAAATTTTGAGTAATTTGTTAGGTAGCAATAGGTAATTAATACATGATCATGGGCGAGACCCTTCTATTTTATGTTCTTACGTTTTTTCACCTGAAAAATGTGGTTGGATGAGGCCTGTGGTTTCCAGCTGCCCTGCATGGAGCCCTGTGATTTCACAGGGGGTTGACAGGCTACTGTATGGGGCACAGGGTCGGTCAAATAGGCTTCCCGACTCTGATCAGAGGAGCTCCACTTTTGTATCTTATAACTGAGCTTCAGCATAAGATCTTACTTAAAGAAAAAGTGTTTTTTTTTTTTTTTCATCTTTGTTGTTAGGATTTTAAAAGCATATTTTGGGATTTCTTTAATCTTACATGCTTTTTTGAGTTTAGTTTTCCATTTTAAAATGGGTATTCCATAAGGCTCTGTATTTCCAGTGCCCTTGAGAGTAGAGTATAAGGAATGTTATACAACAAACTTCTAATTGTTCAGAGGGAGAAACTCAGATACAGGGAGGGGAAGAAGCTTCTTCAAAGATTCATAGTAATTTAGTGATCAGGCGAGGAATGGAATACAGGTCTCCTGACCTCTAGAAGAGATTATCTGTACTAGATATCTATAATGAAATGGAGCTATAATGAAGGATTTTAAAAAACAAATATTAAAAAAAAAAAAAAGATTTGTCCTCGTTCAGGTGCAGGGGGAAGAATATAAAGCAACAAATAAAAGATTCTTGGAACATGTTGTCCTAGAGGAAGCTGGCTTGCTCATAAAGATAAATCACATACGAGCAGAGACTAGCTTACCATGGAGTTGTCTGGCTGACTTAGTCATTACAGTGCATTGTGGCAATCATGCAATAGCTGAGCCCTGATGGAGTGCTAGGCAGAACTTGGGCTGGGACTCAGAGGTGAGCCACACCTTTGGTGGCGGCTGCCTCAAAGGTATTTGGCAGAGTTCAGTTCTCCACGTATTACTCCAGATCAGAAATTATAAACTGTTAGCCTCTGGAACAGACAAAGCTTGAGGATGAACTTTATAAATATTTAAATGTGTATTTATATGTGTGGCCTTATTTGGTGTTAATAATTTTTTAAGTCAGTTGCTAATATTAAAAAAATAAGTAGATTTCATATAAAATCTTTATTTCTGGTCTCCCTTGAATAATTGGCAAGGCTGGGCTAGCACTGCAGCGTGGGGGCCATCGCCTGGAGCTGACTAGTGGCCATCCCTGTAGCAGGAGCCTAAGCACTTCGGTTTCCTACTCTCTTCCCCACCCTACTTCTTGTTGTTTCTCCTCTGAGGCCCCATGCTGGCTGCTCTATATTGCTGTGCCTGTCATTTTATTTTTCTCATGGTAGAGTATTTTCTTACACCTCGCTTCGCTCATTTATTTACCTGCTGGATCCCTGAAGGGATCTGATTTTGAAACTCCCTCACCTCAAGGACTGTCTCCCTCCCTTACTTCCTCCCACACAGAACTCACTGGAGGCATGGCGCTTGACTTTGACCTGCGGATCTGCTCGATGGGCCTTCTCGCTGCAGGAGGAGGCATGGCGTTTCACCTGGGCCCCAGTGGGACGTTCCGGCTCCTCATCCTGGGTGGGAGATGGAGGAAGGAGATGAAGTGCAGGTAGGTTCGGAGTTATCAGTGCAGAGGTGTATCCTGGTCTGTGCTCGGATGGCGAGTGCTGCAGGACCTCTGAGATTGTGGCCTCTGTAGACTTGTGCAGCACTCAATAGTTTATAAACCACTTTTACTGGCATTATTATCATTTGATCCTCATACATTCCTATGGGGGGCAGCAGAAGGCAACTCTAAATTGGAATATCTGCTGAGAGGAAAATTATGAAGTCTCAATAAATTGTGGGTGACCATATTTGATTTTTTTGTCCATAGATATTTTTGTCCTCACCTCATTTTGCAGTGTCCTTCAGATTTCTGAATTGTTAAAAAAAAAAAAATCATGGTGAGATCGGCCAATGGTAGAAGTTACATAATTTAGACTTGTTATACATTTGTACATGAAGAATATTAAAAATACTCAAAATCCTGTCAAAGCTCAGGAAACCATGAGTGGAATATGATAATAATGTAATATAATAATGATATTAATAACAGCGGTTATGATTTACTTTTCTGGGTAAGACCTTCTAGTGTCCAGGCCCTGTGCTAAGTTCTTTCCATAAAATATGTCATTTAGTTCTTGCAACAGTCCACTCAGGTAAGTTTATAATATCCATTTGAAGCCAGGAAGTGAGGACCAGGGATGTGAAGCTCAGGGTAACTTGGGTTAAGCTCTGAGTCCAAAGTTTGCACCCTTAAGTTCTGAGTTGTCTTGCTACTAAACTCTGCAACTGAGAAAGATCTCAAGCTGCATCCACTGGTTCATCTGTGTCTGAATAAAGACCATGTAAACAGAAGAAGGATAGTTGGGGAAATTTCTAAAAGGGAGTCCCAGAGGTGTGAGCTCAGTCTCATCTAGCACCATCCAAGGTGGAGGTCCTGGCCCACAGACACATCTGCTTTCGTTGGCAGCTTGATCCCTTCTCTCCCTTCCTTAGCTGTGAAGCTTGACTCACCCCCCAGCATCTGATCAGAATATGGTCCTCTGGCTCTCCTATGGGAGGAGAAGGCATAGAACATACTGCCAGGAGCAATCTGGGCCATGTGATGGCTCCAGAGGCCTCACTGTAAATTAATAAGCTGGCATCTCCTTGGTTTATTAAGCAAGATGGGGAGACTCTGTCCTGGGAAATGAAGGCCAGACTGTGGATACCCCCAGGTGAAGTCCTATGGGGGTGGCCAGTTAGCATCCCAAGACACCAATGAATCAGCAGCATTAGTTCATAGAGCATTAAATAGGCGGAGAGCCCAAAACCCAGTTCAAATTGAAATAGTGCTTTGCAGTTTATAGAGCCCTTCCTCTTCCTGATCTGTGAGCTTTTCACTGTACCACCCAGCCTCCTGTGCCGGGGATTCCTCATCCTGAGCCATGACTGTGATAAGAAGGGTCCTCTCTCCCCTTCTAGCTGCTAGTTAAGTGAAAATGATTTCTCTGAGGCAGAGGAAAAGAAGAATACAGTCATGTGCCGCATAACGATGTTTCTGTCAAGGTATATATGTCAGTGGTCCCATAGGATTGTAACAGAGCTGAAAAATTCTTATTGCCTAGTGATGGTGCAACTATCTTAACATTGTAGTGCAATGTATGATTCGTGTTTGTGATCATGCTGATGTAAACAAACCTACTGCACTGCCAGTCATGTAAAAGTATAGCACATAAAATTATGTGCAGTACGTATTTGATAATGATAATAATCGACTATGTTATTGGTTTATATATTTACTATACTATATTTTTTAATCATTATTTTAGAATATACTCTTCCTACTTATAAAAAAAGTTTACTGTAAAACACTATGCCGTGTTAACCGGCAGCAGCCTCCTACATCTCACATTTACTGCGTCTCTTGATTTCTCTTGTGCTTGATTTAATTTTGTATTGTTTTGTACAGTAACTTGTTGTATAGGTTTGTAGCCTAGGATCAATAGGTTATACCATATAGTCAGGTGTATAGTAGGCTGTGCCATCTAGGTTTGTGTAAGTACACTCTATGACGTTCACAAAAGGTTGAAATTGCTTAGTGATACTTTTCTCAGAATGTATCCCCATTGTTCAGTGGCACATGACTAGTGAGGGAGAGAGAAAGGGAGAGCTAAGAAGTGGCCTTTGCACATTCCTGGGCAGTCCCAACGGGCCATACCTGCATCTTTTCATAAGGAACATCATCATAGACACGGGGCTCAGGCCATTGATCCTGGCAGGATCTTGCATATCTAGAAAATACAAGGTACAATGACAATGACACCTTGCAGCTTACTTTCTTGTTCACTCTCTCATTTGATTCTAGCAGCGGCTCATAAAGGATGTTGGAAGGTTAGTGACAGCAACCATTCCAGGCAGCATTGGGCCATTGCTGTATTAAGGGCTTTATAGGCAGGGAGCCATGTGATTCTCACAACAACCCAGGAAAAAGGTAATTCATCACCTCTGTTCTATAAGTGAGAAAACAGAGGATCCAAGCTGGCAAGCAAGCAGCCCAAGCTGGTGGTGGTGACAGAGCTGTGACTTGAACCCAGCTCTTCCAGTGCTAAATTCCACATATCAGCCCTGTGCCTGCTCAGATGTTCGAGGGTGTGAGAGCCTAAGGTTTGGTGGCAGGACTGCAGAACCCAGGCCACTATGCAAAAGGGCTTCTTCACTTTTCCTCATTCCCTCCACAGCTTCCCTTGACCCTGGTCTGGGTTATCTCCTTTAGCCAGCTCACTCCTGACTGCTGGAAAAGGAAGGTACCCATTCTGACTTCCCAAGGCAGCAAAGTCTTCCTCAGCCCTTCCTCCCTTCCCTCCCATTGCCCAAGGCTGAACTCAGAGCCTCTGAGAGAGAGCCAAGACAAAATAAGCCCTGGGCAGCTATGGGCTGTGAGGTGCCGACTCTTACAGGAAGGAGTTGCGCCCTGCACTGACGATGCTGGTTAAGGTCTCCACGTCCACGTAGTCATAGTGCAGTGCTTCGGGAGTGACTTTGGAGCCCATCTCCACCAGCAGCAGCCCAAGCCAGCGGCCCATGTCCTCTGAGCAGCTTGCCTGAGAGAGGGGAGGTACATGCCGAGTTCACTTTGGCACTCTCAGGGCCTCTGGCTACCTGCTTACTTCAGCCAAACCCAGATTTATATAGTACCTGCTATGCACCCAACACTTAGAGATCCAAGAGAACAAGACTAGAACACACATCCAGAAATCCAAGTGGCTCCCACTTTCCCTCTGTTCAGGTCTCTGCTCACTAACCTCAGAAATTTTTTGACCATTAGATGTGAAAACAGCATTTGGGAGTTCCCTGAATTCTTTAAAATATTTTACTTTTTATTAGACGAGGCTGTTTCTCACATTGTTTCTGTTATAATTGCCAATTACTTATAGTATTATTTATAGGAAAATCTCCAAGAAGTTGCTGGTCAACTAAACACATTTATGTTAGTTCTCATTTAAAGAGTATTATTATAAAATCGACAGCCTGCAAAAGCTAAACTTGAATAAAAGAAGTATACTTTTTGCTGGACAGCTCTATGTCTAATTTAAGAGAAATAGTAGACAAATCTGAAACTATCAAAAATAAAAGTGAGTTACTGAGCTAGGATTTCTTAAAATGTAAGAACTGAGAGAGGCAGTGGGTATTGGACAAAGAAAACAAGACCAAGAGGCTGCGTTTTAGTTTTAGAGTAAGATTAAGAGGCGACTGACCCTCTGCGGAGCCTTGAACAAAGCACTTGGCTGTTCTGGCCTCAGTTTCCTTATCTGTAATGTGAGGGGCTAGTTATTTACGTTTCTCTCCATTGTTAACATTTTAAAATCTAAATAGCCAAGGGATTGACATGTAGACAAGAGATTCAGAGTATCCTGCATGACCTCAGAGAGAAGGGCTAGTACCACTGAGTAGGGCCCACAATGAATGGGTGAAGTGAAATCACATATTCATTTCAGCCATTTGTTCAACAAATGTTAATTAAGCCCTTATCCTGTGCCAGACATCACACTGGGTTCTGGAAAAACAAAAGAATGCAGAACAGGCTTACTGCCTTAATGGAGTTTAAAGATTTCTATTCAATATAGAGAAAATCTTTCTAAAAATTCAAGTTGCTCAGTGGGCGGGGCAGGCTACCTTGAAGGGCAGTAGTTTATCTGAGGTGACAGCCACTGGTGGGAAGGTTTTAGAGAGGATTTTGGAATCAGGTTGGGTTAGATCAGACTGGATACCTTTTAGCCTTAGAATTTTAAGGTAAGGGAGAAAAAAAACAAGCCTTGGTTCTAGGGTTGCCAGATTTAGTAAATAAAAAGCAGAATGCTCTGTTAGAGTTGAATTTCAGATAAAAAATGAAAATTTTTTTAGCATGGATATGTCCTAAATGTTGCATGGGATATACTTGTATTAAAGACATTATTTGTTATTTATCCAAAATTCACATTTTAGTGGGTTGTTTAGTGGGTAGGGCAACCCTACTCAATCACTTGGCAGCAGCTGGCTTACTTTCCCTTCTTTCTCAGTCCCTATGTTGTCAGTAGCAAGGCCCCAAGACAAAAGCCAACATCTAGGCCAGAGCTCCCCTGAGCTCCCACCATCAAGGATTCTCCCCTCTTACTTCCAAGATGGCCACCTCCTGCCGGTTGTGCAGGATCCTGAAGGCAAATGGGTGTCTGGGCCCAAAGCCTGGGGCCACCTCACAGCCTCGGAGGGCGATGGCATTCACGTGGGCCTGAAGGTCCGTGCGGTCCTTGTGGAAATACAGAGTGTTGCACTTCAGGCGGCACCAGCGTTCCTTCCAGCTGTGGTTCACCAGCACATTCAGGTAGCCTGGGAGGGGGTAGACCAGCAGAGTGACCTCTTGACAGCCTGGCCCTGAGGAAACTCAAGGTGGGGGATGCACGTTGGGGTGCATGGGTCTGTACCCCAGGGACAGAACACCTGGACAGCTCTTGTTCTCCAGCTAGAACGAAAGCTGGGTCCCAGATCAACTCTCTTCTGGCCTGTGATCTCAGGCATCTTCTTCTGAGTTTGTTTCCTCTCAGTGAA